CACTCAGGGCTGATTTCCTTTAGAATTGATCTCCTTGCAGTCCAGGGAAAGGAGTCCCATCACTGGTCCCATCACCTGGCAAATCGAAGGGGAACAGATGGAGGCAGTGACAGATTTTACTTTCTTGGGCTCCATGATCACTGCAGATGGGAACAGCAGCCATGAAATTAGAAGACCCTGCTTCTTGGGAGAAACGTGATGAGAAACCTAGACAGGATCTTAAAAAGCAGAGACATCACCTTGCCGACAAAGATCTGCGTAGTCAAAGCTATGGTTTTTCCAGTAGTGATGTATGGGAGTGAGAGCTGGACCATAAAGAAGGCTGGCCGCCGAAGAATTGATGCTTTTGAATTGTGCTGCTGGAAGAGGCTCTTGAGAGTCCCCTGGACTGCGAGGAGAACAAACCTATCCATTTTGAAGGAAATCAACCCTGTGAGCTCACTGGAAGGACAGATCCTGAAGTTGAGGCTCCAATACTGTGGCCATCTGATGAGAAGATTCCCTGGAAAAGATCCTGATGTGGGGAAAGTGTGAAGGGAAGAGGAGAAGGGGACGACAGAGGACGAGATGGTTGGACAGTGTCACCGAAGCAACCAACATGATTTTGACCCAACTCCGGGAGGCAGTGAAAGACAGGAGGAGGGCCTGGCATGCTCTGGTCCATGGGGTCACAAAGCGCCAGACACGACTTAATGACTAAACAACAACAACAACAGCTCAAAATAGTTCTGTCTTCACCAGTTTTTTAAATGTAAGCAGGGAAGGAGCGCCGAGACACCTCTGTTGACATTTTGTCCCAGCGACTCAGTGCCACAACTAAAAAGCCACAATCCTTTGAATCTGCCTTTTGGGCCTCCCTTGGTGTGGCCACTTTTAACGACATGAACTAATCCAATTATTTAAGTGAGGAAATCTTTATTATCCGTTCAAGCTTTTGTGTTTCTAATTCTTGTCACTTCAGAGACCTTTTGGGACAGACAAAGAGGAAAACAAATAAAATTCTAGGGCAGTGGCTCCCAACCTTCAGTCACCCAGGCGTTGAACTGCAGTTCCCAACAGCGTCCTCCACCAAGGTTTATTTATTTATTTATTGGATTTTGCTGGGAATTGCAGTCCAAGGACACCTGAATTACCCAAGGCTGGGAACCATTGTTCTTGGAGAACTGCTGCTGAGGCATACTGTAAGTTACCCAAGTTATTTACATTGGGAGGGACTCAGTCAAGCAACAGTAGCTTCTAGCTCTTATAGTTTCTGAGATCATTCATGATGCAAACCATGCCCCCCCTTTCAATTGTTTCTAAGAGGAAAGATACAGAAACCTTCCCTGAGGTTGGCTGAAAACAAAGACAAGCTAAACGTCTTGAGTAAAGACGCTTCAGAGATCACACAGTTTGAAAAGCGACACACCGGTTGCACGTGGTGCATCCAACTGCCTTGATACTAATCTGCCTTCTAGACCTCAAGATCTGCATGACGACATCAACAAAAAGTGCAAGTGTAGTTTGATGTATCAGCTTTTCTTCTGTCTCTGCAATCTGTGGCCTCAGGCCAGTTGAACATACTTCCCCCACCTTACCCCCCCCCCCCAGCCTGTGAATCGGGTGCATTTTCTTGATTGTTTTATTTTCAGTGCAGATACCCCGCCTTTTTTTGCCAAGATGGCTATTTGTTAGCAGTTTTTTTTTAATGTACTGAAGAACAGTAACAGTAAGCAGTTCAAACTTTAAAAGGAAAGGCAACAAAGTATAAAAGCAATTCAATGCCATTAAAGCTTGAAAGAATAAAGATAGGCTTCCACAGGAAGTTAAAAGATAGCAATAAGGCCAGAGAGCAAATAGCGCATCGGCTCCAATGATATGGGGGGCACCACAGAAAGAGTCTTGTCTCTATTTGCTACCTATGTAATTTTGCAAATTGGTGGCATCAGCAGAGCAAGAAAAGTCCGCCTCACAGGACTGTTGTGAAAATGGAACAAAATAAATAGGAAGGCATGATTCAACTGGGAGAAGAGCTACCACGTGTAACTGTTCCTATCTGAAGGAAACAACACTGTTGTTGTTGTTTAAAGTAGAGGAAATGTCTTGTCCAGGACTGAGATGTAATGGCACTGGAGGAAGAGGTTGGTTTGAAGCAGGGGTGGACAACTTGTGGCCCTCCTGATGTTGTGGGACAGCTGGGATAGCCAACACTGAGACATGCTCGGGTTTGCAGCCTAACAACATCTGGATAGCCACAAGTCGTTTAACAGGATCAGCAAGTGGGAGGGGGGGCAGGGTGGTGCCCTATGACCCTGGCTTTGAGGTTCTACTCAGCCACAGAGTCTGCTGTGTTACTTTATCTGTACCTCTGGCTAATGATCCATTACCCTCACTCACCACGGCCAATAGGAAAGGGTTGTGGGAGCTGAAATCAAAAACATCTGGAGAGCCAACTTTCCTCCACACCCCTGGTCAGAACTGACATATCTCGTAGGATTATAAAGATAAAAAGTGGGGGTGGGGTGGGAGCAGTGAAGGTTCTTTAAGGGGAAATGTTAAGAAAATTATACCGCCCTTTGCCCTCCGAAATTCGGTTTGTTCAAAGTGCACTGCAAAACAGAAAGAGCATTAGAAATGATCATTAGAACACATGTAAAATGTGCTAAAAACTAAAAGCATCAGTAAAGGTAAAAAAAAATCCTCGTATATTCACACACAAAACAGTCAATAACTTAAAATGAAGCACGATTTAATATGAATACTGTATGACTGAAGAATAAGTTCTGTGTGTGTGTGTGTGTGTGTGTGTGAGAGAGAGAGAGAGAGAGAGAGAGAGACTGTGTTTCTGTATTTGTGCACAGAATAGCTGCATGCGATCAAGTTGATTCTGATGTATGGCAACCTTTCCACAGCTTTCTAGGTATCTAATACTCAGAAACGGTTCATCCTTCCCTTCTCCTGGGGTGCCTTGGGACTGTGCAGCTTGTCCATGGCTACACAGGCTGGCTCTTCTCCTAGAAGGCACAGTGGGGAATCAAACTCTCAGCTATCCAGCCAGCCATAATAATATTGTGCTCAAACCACTGAGCTATCCAGCCAGCCATAATAATAGTGTGCCGTCATGTCACTTCTGACTTATAATTATCCTTTTCCAGATTTTTTTAAGGTAAAGAGTACAGTATTCAGAAGCGGTTCACCATTCCCTTCTTCTGAGGGGCATCCTGGCACTGTGCAGCTTGCCCAAGGTCACAGAGGCTGATTCTATAGGGCAGTGGTCCCCAACCTTGGGCCTCCAGATGTTCTTGGACTTCAACTCCCAGAAATCCTGGCCAGCAGAGGTGGTGCTGAAGGCTTCTGGGAGCTGTAGTCCAAGACCATCTGGAGGCCCAAGGTTGGGGAACACTGCTATAGGGAACAGAATTCCCAATACAGTATCTAGCTCTGCAGCCAGAGGCCTAAACCGCTAAGCTATCCAGCACACTTACATTCAGTCAGCCCACCTTGCATCCTTTGTTAGATGCTTTGAGTTTGCTTTTTTGAGACGAACTGCACAATCTGGCCCCTTGGACATACCCCCTGCTTGTACTGGGCCAAACAAGACAGAATATTCTAGCCAGCAAGAAAGAGACTTGTCCAATTACCTGAAGCCTCTTTGTCTGCTTGGAAACGACAGCATAGCACCCTAAGAGGAAATTGGTGCTTTATTTTTGATGTTAGATCTCCTCAATTCATCAGGCTGTACAAAAATTTATTTAATGTGGAGAAATGCTGGGGGGGAGGGTCTCCTGCTCAATGTGCTTGAAGATTTTTGCATGTCTTAGGGCCTCCAGTTTTGGTGCTTAAACATGATTTATTGGCAACATCCTCACTTTATCCCGCGATGGGGATCTCTGACCTTCCAGATGTTTTCTATGACAACTCCCATAATTCCTTGCCATTTACCGTGTGGGCTAAACTGGTGCCTCTGGGATTCAACATCCAAAACAGCTGGAGCGCCAATGATTTCCATCCCTGCTTTATCCAGATGGAAAGCTGAAGTGTTGCCCCCACCCCCCAAAAAAGCAAAGTTGAAAATCTTGTGTCACCTTAAAACAGGGGCTGGAAAAGTGCAGGCACCCAGATGTTGTCCAACTGCAGTCTCTACCACCTTTACCCAGCACAATCAATGAACTGGGAATACTGGGAGTTCCTGCCATAGAGAAATCGTTGGGGAAAACTGCACTTTCCTCCACCTCCACCTCTTTAAAAACTTTTCTTCTGACAACAGGCCACTGGCATCTCCTGAACTTGACTGAGCTTGGGATTTATTTACCTCAGGCACTGATCAAGTTCTGTATCCATGGGCTTCAGCTCTAATCCCGGGCTTCATAGGGAGGCAGACCTCAAGGATAAACCCACTCGGGTGTCGAAACCACAACGCCTGAGAGGGCCTGCTCTCTCTTTGAGGCTGGATCCAGCTGAACCGAACTGAATTGGGGTGTGTGGGTGACCTTGGCTTGAGTGGGAACCTGGGGCAATTCACTAAAGCCTCCCATTCTCTAATTTCCCCGCACTTCCCCTAACGAAGAGTTCTGGAGGTCTCGAAAGCTGGCACACTTTCGTGACTTTTTTCTACGTAGTTGGTTCTAATCAAAGCCTTGCCCAGATGCAAGATTCGGGTTCCTTCCCTTCCTCTCTCCCCTCCGGATCAACCCCGGCCGCGATCCGTATTAAGGGAGAGATCCACCTTCGGAGAGTCTTAGGGAAGGGCTCCCCAGGTACAGCGCTCGAGAGAGGCATGGTGAGGCTGACTGATCCTGGGGTCTCTCTCGGCCCCCCCCATCATCTTTTTCCCGGCGCAGGGGCAGCAAGAAGTGCCCAAGGGTTCAGCCCACCCACCCGATCGCCGCTCCCCTCCTCGCCCTCCTTTCCTGGCACCGCGAACCCTCGTTGCGCAAGGGCCCCGCGGCCACGCCTCTCTCTTTCGCGGGGGAATTTCGCGGTGAGGTCAGACCCTGCTCTGCCCGCGGGCGGATATATAAATTCCCCTCCGCCAGCCCCGCTGCCGCCGGCAGGAAAACGCGTCGCGATCGCTGGACCCCCGGAGCTACCCCGGCTGGGTGTCTCTGCGCCCTCTCCTGCGCCTGAGGATGCTGGACGTAGACTACGCGCAGTGAGTCAGAGGGGGACCGATTCGGGGGCTTAGGCAGGATTGTGCCGGGAGGAAGGCAGGACTTCAGTGGATCTGCTCAGAATCTAATCTTCCCCCCACCCCACCTTTTTTAAAAGGAGAGAGGATACGGGGTCCTCTGAACATGTGCAGAGTGACTAACAACTGCACGCCTTAGTTCTTCTATTTGTGATGAAGGCGTCGGGACAGTTTTAATGAACTAGTTAGTGGTCCGGCGGCGCCGCGCGCGTCAGAGAGGAGTTGAGCTGCCTGGGAAGCCGCGCAAAGGTCTGGGAAGCCGGACTGAAGGCGGCTTTCTGAGCAGCGGGGAATTTCTGGGCGCAGAGAAGCGGGTTCGAGTCCAGCCTTGGAAACTGAGAAGGTCCTCGATTTAAATTTAAAATCTGCTCACAGTTTAAAGCCATTTGAGAGCTGCTTGAAACAGCGTTGAACGTTGGACGCGAAGCACAGTTAAAACCAACAGTTTCTGTGTTACCAAGTTAAATTTGATAGATCCCAGGTTTATACGGAGGAAGAATTCGGAACTTTTGGGCTTCTACCAAAGGGGAGTAGCTTGGGGTAAAAAGTGGTCAGGCTAGAGGCACAAATAAATTACTTTGAACCCCCCCACTCTAATCCCAAGGCCGTCTATGTCCAAGGTTCCTCTTCCTCTTCTCTTCTCACAGCTTTGTGAGGTAGATTAGGCAGAAAGTTAGCACCTTGCCCCACATTATCCCATGAGGTTCTAGAGATTTGAACCCTGAGCACCCCTCCCTCTAGCCCAGTACAATCATTGGCTGCCTCATCATCTTTCTTAATCTCCCTGCAAAGTGTGGTGGTGTGGCAGAAAGAACTCTCTTCACATGCAAGGAAATATTCTGGGATGCTTCCTTCTGATGGGATAATCTGGCTGCCCCTAAATTTCAAGCAAAGCTCCTCTGCCCAAGGTGAAAGAGATCCCCCCCCCAATTATACTTTTCGCCATTGCTGTATCTGTACAGTGAGGCTGGGAAGGGGAGCCCTTTAGCTGCTGACTCCGCACTCGCTTCCCTTGCGCAACTCTTACAAGCCGAGGAAACTTGGTGTATTTTGAAAGGAGCCACTCTGCCCCCGGTTTAGCTGACCTCCAACCTCTCCCCTAGCAGGACTCTTCTTTCTTGACCAGAGGCTGGGTGCTTCACACTCTTACTGGCCCCCCCACGCACACACCCCATCCCTTTCTCCCTCTCACTTTCCTTCCCCTCCTCTTGCCTTGTATGCAAATCCTGAGGCCTGCAAAGGTGGGGAAAATTAGATTTGAATATTTCCCCAGCTCACAAGAGTATGACTGTGAGGAAGGGTGGTGAGGGTTTGCAGGCAGGATGGGGGCGAGGGGGGGGGCTGCATGAGAGTGGAGTGTACTTTCAACATCTAGCCAGTTTGCTCCCAAAGGAGGGATTTCACACCGACTCCTTATAGCCTCTGTTAAGTTGGAAGAGTTGCAGAAGCAGGGTCAAGACAATCCATTGACCACCTGGCTGGCCCTACGGTTAGAGAGAATGACACTACTGTCTCAGGTGGCAGATTCTGGGACAGTGGGAGCAGCAGCAGCCCCCATCACTCCTCCTGATCTAGGCCATTCCTCCCTCTTAGAACACAGGGGTGGGTCTACCCAATAGTCCCCTAACACAGCCCACCATCTTCAGGTGCAATAAAATACTGTATGTTAGTGTAAAAGTGGGTCTACCCAATAGTCCCCTAACACAGCCTGTATAAAGACTGTATGTTAGTGTAAAATATCAACTGCTAGGACAATCATGTTCTGTACGTCTTATAAGAAGGAGTCCCTTTTTTGCTCTTTACCACAGGTCACAAAATGTCTTGGGCTGGCCCTGCTAGGTTATCAGGGTCCAATGGAAGCTGGACAGAGGGTCCATTATTGTTCCAGCAACTTTCTGTGTGTTAGCTTGCAGTGTGTAAGCTTAAGTTCCCTGAAGCCCATCCAGAACTCAGCTGCAGGTCAGTGCTGGCACAGGCACAAGGGAGACCTTGCTTACAAGGAGTCCTTTACTCATTAATTTATGGAGAGGCAGCCAAGTTAGTCTGTTGCCCCCATTGCGCAGAAACTAACGAAGAGTCTTGTGTCACTTTGAAAACTAGCACGTTTCATTGGACAGCACTGTACAAAGCTGTGTCTCAATTCTTCATATTCAGAAAACCTCTGAAGAAGCAGGTTGCAGCTCCTGAAAGCCTCCACCAAATAAAATGTTATGATCTTTAAGGTGCTGCAAGATGCTTCGACTGGTGTTTATTTGTGAGCGCTCTCAGCCTCAAAACATTCTTTTCTGTGGCCACCGACTAAGATAATGATGTAAGGACTTTCTAAATGCAGGTGAGACCTGTATTAGACCACTTTTAAAAAACCCCAAACAATTGGCAAGCTTTCGTGGTTGAAATCCACTTCGTCAGGCCATGCACCAATATTGCAGAAAAAATATTATAACTGAGAGTCCCAAAATTTATGGCAGAAAACTGCTAGGTATACCTCTTAAGGTGAGTTCAAACTCTGACTTCCTGTCTTTTATCCACATATGGCTCACTAGTCTTGCCATATGTGGATAAAAAAAGTAAGTACTGTAACGGCTTTGTTACTTTCATTGAGCCACTTCTGATCTGTGCCTTGCACACTGACCTGGCATACAAGCACAAAAAATGCTTATCTGTGAATGGGTTTCTAGTGGCAATCATACTGCATTCGGCTTTAGGAGACTGGAGTTTGAATCACGTTTTAAAAGGTAGACTTGATTCTCAATCTATAATGTGGCCAAAATCATTGATTTACAACAAAAGGAAATAAATTACCTTGATTTTATTAGGCTCTGGGCATGGAATCCTGATCCACCACTCAGGCAGTGGGGGGTGCACACAAATATCTGACTTGGAATTGCCCAGCGCAGCCCACACACAAACACTATGAAATATTGAATTACAGTGGTGCCTCGCTTTTTGATTGCTCTGTTTAACGATGAAATCGCGTTAGGACAAACTTTTTGCAATTGCTTTTGCGATTGCTTTACAATGTTTCCTATGGGGGAATTTCGCTTTGCGATGATCGGTTCCCTGCTTCTTCGCAAAACGATGATTTTTGGACAGCTGATCGGCAGTTTCAAAATGGCCACCGGGTAAACAAAATGGCCCCCCACTGTTTTCTGGGACGGATTCCTCACTGCACAGGCAGCGAAAATGGCCGCCCTATGGAGGATCTTCGCTGAACTGTGAGTTTCCAGCCCATCGGAACACATTAAACAGGTTTTAATGCGTTTCTATGGGCTTTTTAATTTCGCATTACGACATTTTCGTTCTACAGCGATTTCACTGGAACGAATTAACGTCATCATGCGAGGCACCACTGTATCTGTGATTTTCAAATGCATAGCAGGCTTTCCTTCTCTACCAAGTTCCTTGCTCTGAAATTAGCCTCAGGTCTAGATGTAGGGGTTGCTCTACAACAGAGGTTAGAAAATGGGGGTAGTGGGTCTGCAGTCAACGGACTGAGAGATGAGAATGGAGCAGCACAAGAAGACCCTCCTGTAATGATGAAAACCCAAGCCTCTTTTGGGTGTAACCCTGCCCATGTCCTCCTGTAACCATGCCTCCTCCCCAGACAGATTATGTGCAGTCTGAGGAAAGTTGAATTAAAATTTAAGTTTAGCAAAAGCCTTTCTGAACGCTGGTGGGGGTGGGGGTTCACTTTGGATTCATGGTTTCAAGATTGTGATGTCTATTTGGGTAATTAAAAAGAAACTTAATTGGGTCCCTTAAAAATATAAATAGGGAGTGCTTTTAATAACTGGTTTTTATAACAGTTCAGTAAGCTAGCTGGAGAACTCAGTGGTTTAGGTAACTGGCTACTGTCCCTCCTGCCAGTAGAGCCAGCCTGGGTGGCCTTGGGCAAGCTGCACAGTCCCAGGGCACCCCCAGAAGAAGGGAATGGGAAACCACTTCTGAGTACTCTCTACTGGAAAATCCTGAAAAAAAGGTCACCATAAGTCAGAACTGACTTGACAGCACATGATGATGATGATAATTTTAAAACAGTTCACTAGTTTCCCAGTGCTTTCATGTTTTGAAATATATGGGGTGAGTAAAGAAGAGGGAGGCAACAGATTTCCCATGGACAGTGTTTACTCCTCTTGATTAATGTTTCTTCTCACTTGGCAGGTTTGAAGGATCCCAGTATGGATATATGGTAAGTTATGTGGCCTAGGGTTTTTGAGTTCTATGGGAAAGATCTAGTCTAAGGTTTAGGTTAGGGTGCCAAATGTATAGCCCTCTATTTTAAAATCCTTCTACAAGTGAGCTGGAAAGCACAACCTGTCACTGAGCAGTCTGCCCCCCCCGCCTTTGTTGTCCTGCTGGGCAGGAAGGAAAAAGGAAAGATAGAAAGAAAAAGAATGGGAAGGGGGGTGGCAGGGAGGGAGGAGCAGGTAGAAGAAGGGGTAGCTCCTAGAACGAGAGAAAAAGAGTACAGTGGTGCCCTGCTTGACGACGATAATCTGTTCCAGGAAAATCGCTGTTAAGCGAAATCATCGTCAAGCGGGGGGAAAACCCATTGGAATGCATTGAAAATCGGTTAATGCGTTCCAATGGGGGAAATACCTGATAGTCCAGCGAAGATCCTCCATAGGGTGGCCATTTTACGATCCCTGTGTTGTGAAAATAGGTCTGGGAAAGCAGCGGGGACCCATTTTGGGAATCGCCGATCAGCTGTTTTTAATCATCGTCCAGCGAAAAACGGTTCCCGTAGCAGGGACTGAATCAATGTAAAGTGAAAAAAAACCATAGAAACATCATTTTGCGATCGCAAAGCTATTTCGTTGTCTAACGGGGTCGTTGTCAAGCGGGGCACCACTGTATATAAGAGGGAGTAAAGAGAGAGGAAATGAGGTGGCAAGAGGGAGACAGGAGGGAGTAGTAAGAAGGGAGTGAACATGAAAGCAGTAGTAGAGAGAGGAGGGGGAAAAAGAATTTTTATTTGTTTGTTTTTGTTTCTAATGGCCCCATGCTCTATTGTAATTAGTCATGCTTACCACTTTGATCCCCAGTATTACCCCCTGCAGTGCAGGTGGAGAAGATGTGACCTCTAGAACAGTGGTTCCCAACCTTGGATCCCCAGATGTTCTTGGACTAGAACTCCCAGAAGCCTTCACCATTAGCTATGCTGGCCAGGATTTCTGGGAGTTGTAGTCCAAGAACATCTGGGAACCCAAGGTTGGGAAGCACTGCTCTAGATGTTCTTCGATTGTAACCATTGGCCAGCATACATGATGGTAAGGGGGGGGGGAGTTTAATATCTGGTGGACCACCAGTGGTCTACTTCTGTTCCAGGGAATGTGGCCTTCCAAGGAATATGAGGGTGCTGGTAGCTGTATTAAGAACTGGAGTCTGTAGCTTTTTGGAGGAAGAAAGTTGTTTTAGCAGCTTAGGTTAAATGCCAGAAGGAGCCCTGTGTTGTTGTTCCATTTTAGGATGGGTTTTATGTTGCTCACAGACCGCTCTGTGATTTCAGTTTCCCAATGGATGCCTCTATGATCTGGAGTCATGCAAACAAGAACCCATCTTTTACTCCTGTGCCGCAGACGCTGAGAGCTCCCCTGGTAAGGGACATTGTGGGGACTGGGCAGCCCCTGCAGGAGGCTGGAAGCAGGGCAGCGAAGCTGTGTATCTGTTTATTGCCTATGAAATTCTGCACACGAAGCAGGGCCATTGCATGTTAAAAGGCTGCTGGCTGGAGGATTCTGGGAGCTGTAGTCCAAAAAAGCATTTCCCCAAGCTCTAATTAATTGTAAGGGTCCTCCATACATACAGTATCTCCTTCCCGCGATCATAGATTTGCATGGCTGTTTGCTGGTCTGGAGAAAAGTCTGCCCTGCACGCCTTCCTGTTTGCAACAGAAAAGCTGCTCTCTCCCCCCACCTTCTCTTCTTCCCCTGCTTGCTTATGCAATCTGCAGCCGGTGGTCCTATATAACCGTCTACCTCTTTGACTTCTTGGATAGGGCCGTTTATTCCAAGCTGAGGGAGAGCGTGCCACCGGTATGCGCATTCTTTCACTTGTAGAAAGATACCACTTTTTAAGGAGCTTGGTGAAACTCCACGAGGCGGACACGAACCTGAGAGACCGAGATAATAACAACGTCGCCCTCCTTGGCGTTGCAGGACCAGCCAACTGACACTACCCTTTGTGCACGCCACCCTCCCACCCATCCACCCCCCTCTGCTCCCTGCCACATCCTCGGTGTGGTTTTCCTTTGTTAGGAAATGAGGCAACACTGGAGCCTCGTGTGCGCGGCCTCTCCCTCCCTCCC